TAGCATGCTTAGCACGTAAAGTTTTTCCCCTTTGCTTCCACTTGACATGCTTTGCACGTAAAGTTTGTAGTTGCCCATGCTTCGCATAAAAACGGGCCCTTCATATTTGGCTTCGAGCGAAAAAACGCGAGATGACGCCTCAGATGACTTGCGAACAAAATTTTACACGTCACTTACACCCTCGGAGAGTCGCACCCCCGACTTGAATTTTTTGGATCACACATACCCTCAAATGACTTGCGAACAAAATTTTACACGTCACTCAAGCCGGATGACGAATGCAATCTATACCCTCGGAGAGTCGCACCCCCGACTTGAATTTTTTGGATTACACATATCCTCAAATGACTTGTGAACAAAATTTTACACGTCACTCAAGTGACTTGCGATATATAAATTTCAAGTCATAAAACGCTTAAATATTTATATAAAAGTATTGTCAGTATTGTTAGTTAAAATTATCATTAAAATATTATTAGTAATGGCGTTTTATGACTTGAAATTTATATATCGCAAGTCACTTGAGTGATGTGTAAAATTTTGTTCACAAGTCATTTGAGGATATGTGTAATCCAAAAAATTCAAGTCGGGGATGCGACTCTCCGAGGGTATAGATTGCATTCGTCATCCGGCTTGAGTGACATGACGGTTAATCTTTAAGAACTTGTCAATATATGACGACAGATATTTGGCATTTCACTGTGTAAAAAGAAATTTCCCACACGTTTCGGAACTTCGTGTGTAATAAATTATTAACGACTCGTGGAGACTAGAAGGGCCACGTTAAAGATAGATCTGACAATTCGGACTATCCATTGATTGCCTACAAAACGGATCCATTCCTCCTGAACAAGAAACAAGAAGAAACAGACACCCCGCACTGCAGAAAAACCATGGAAGTGTGCGAAGTGACACGTATTGAGATAACAACGACTCTTACGGCATTTTTGGGAAAATTGGGAATTAGCAGCCCTAACAGGAGAGGAATGAGACGGCAGAAGGACACACTGCTTTACAACATACCAACCACGATTGGGTTAGTTCAATCAACAACCAACAAGATTTTAGTAACAACATATTTAGTTTAATCAAATGATGGTGATAACAATTACAACAAGAATCAACAAGAAACTAAGAATAATAATCGATTAGACCCTTAAAAATTAATGAAGAAAATAAAAATTAAACTATCTATGTACAAGAAGAAAAAGATAAGAAGAAAATACGCCAACAATAGGAAGGAATCAGTAACGATCGACCAGAAACTGACGATCTAGAAGGAAAAAGGAAGAATTAAAATACGCCAAAATAAATAAAAGAATCAGAAGGTATAAATAGCAGAGAAAAAGGAGAAAAATAATCAAGAAAATTATCAATCATGGAAATATTATTATCGATAATTGTAGGATTAATAATATACGCAATAATAAAATTAGTAAGCAAAAATAAAGAAGAAGAAAAAGAAAGGAAAAGATTGATAAGAGAAAAACCGATTAGATATATCATAGATTATACAACTAGAGAGATAAACTATTTTAAGATAACAGAAGGAGGACCCGTGAAAATATCTAGAGAATTATATCAAAAACAGGAAGAAGAATTATTAAAAGAAGGAAAATATACAGAAACAAAGAACGAATTAAATACGGAAGGAGAAATGATTAGAAAAACAATCATCTTTAATTAGAAATAAACGATAAGCAGAAAGTAAGCAAGGAAGAAAAGCTGAACAATCAAATTAACTAATCAAAGGAAAGAAATACCTATAAAAGGAACGAAAAAAACAAGCAGAAAGGACCTCACTCAAAATCGAGTAAAAAACAAGAAAACGAAATATATGTGTTTATTACTACTAGGAGCATTATATTTACAATTAACAAGACTCGAACAGCAAAGTGCAACATACAGAAGGAAAATAACACATTATAATATTAATTATCAAGATAATCGTACCTATAATATTAATCAAAGAAGTAAGAAAGATAAAAAAGAATTAGCAAGAAGAAAAAAGAAATTAGAAGAAAAAGAAGAAGAATTAGAAAAAGAAAAAGAAAAATTAAGGAAAAGAATCAAACAACAAGAAAAACTACAGAAAAGACTTGAAGAAAAGGATAAGGAAATAAAAAGACTCAAGAAAGAAAGAGAAGAAGAGAAATTAAGACAAGAACGATACGATTCGGAACGAAAAAGACAAGAAGAACAAAGGGAACAAGAAAGAAAACAAAGAGAAGAAGACGAATATAGAAAAAGACAACGAGACGAAGAAAATAGAAGAAGAAACGAGGAAATACTTGAAAGGTATAGGAAAGAACAAGAACGAATAAAAGAACAAGAAAGAAGAGAAGAAGAAAAGAGACAAAGAGAAAGAGAGGAATACGCAAGAAAGGAACAAGAAAGAAAAGATCAATATATAATAGCCAAGTTGATAGAAATAGCAAGGAGATTAGGATTTACAGTCAGCACAAGAGTGTTAGACAAATTAGGAACGGTAATAGTTTATACAGACAAAAACGGAGAAAGAATAATAACAAAAGAAGAACTCATAGACTTAATAAACGAAGAAATAAAAAGGATAGAAGCTTTAATTAAGGAAAAAGAAGAAAAACGACTAAAATCATCAGCAAAGGACGAAGCAATTCAACACGCGGCAAAAACTATAGAAGAAATATTCAAAGAAACTGAAGGAGTAAAGGAAGTCCTAGAAGATATAGAAAAATTAAGAATAGCCAAAGAAGTGGAAGCAAAGGAAAAAATAGAAGAAAAAATAAAGATAGAAGAAGTAGGAGAATTTACGGTACAAGAGTTAAAAGGCATATTAAAAGATTTTAGGAAAATAAAAAGAGAAGAAGGGATCCCCGTATCAGATTCTGAAGAAGAAGAATCGGAGTCAGAAGAGAAACACGCATCTCCATTAGCATAAATGTCAGCAAGTACCATACCAAACAATCCATATCTATCGTTATACAATAGAATAAACAGAGCAACAACAAGTAACCCGAAATACAACGCACTCGTAAACGAAATAGCTGAATTAGTAGGATTCATACAAATAGACGAAGAAGAAGTATCAGGAAAAACAGTAATACCAGGAGAATTTCAAGGAACAGTAATACAAAAATTAGAAACATTAAAAGGAGAAATCGTAACAAATATTTTAAAATCAAATTTAGAAGGACAATCAGGAATACCAATAGAAGGAAGATCACCTAAAGATACCAGGTCAATAGATTCAAAAACGGGAAAAGTTATTTTAGGAAGAAGACTAGTTGATGGAGAAAGATTTAACGATATAAACGGAGGAATATATAAGAAAAAGAAACCAACGGCATAAGTGAATGAAAGGAAAGGAAATCGTAATAGAAACAGACGAAAAGGACATTAAAGAAGAATTAATAAGAGAAAATAAAAAACTAGTGGAAACCATTAAACAAATAAATAAGGAAAAAGATACACTCAATAAACAAATAAGAGAACAAAAAGTAAATCACCTAAGAGAAAAAAGAGAAAATACTGAAAAAATAGTAGAAATAATAAATAAAATAACAAAAAGAGAAACGAAAAATATCAAAATAGAAATATTAGATAAGGACAATAAAAACAACGAAGAAATAAAACTACCAATAGGAGAAGACACGGAACCTAAGTCATCAACAGAAGACGAAGTAAAGAGATTAATAAAACTGGTAGAAAAATTGTTAAAAGAAGTAGAAGAATTAGAAAATCGATTGGAATACGCAATAGAAGTCATAGTAGAACTGTATAAAAATATTAGATACCAATTGGAAGAAGAAGACGACGCAAAATACGATTCGATAATAGAACAATTTGATAAACTAAAAGAAGCAATCGGAGACGAACCAATAATAAAAACAAATAGAGAAGCAAAGATAAGATTAGTCCAATTAGAAAACCAAAGAAAACAATACATAGAAGAAAGAAAAGAAAGAGAACGTATAAGAAACAGTGGAAGCGAATAAAAGCCTACTAGGAGACGCATTAGAAAAATTAACAGAAGCACAAGGAAAACTAGAAGAAACAGAAAAAGAATTAGAGAAAGTCACAACTCAACTTGAAAATAAAGACCAGAAAAATAAAGCCAGAAAGAAACAAGTAGAAAAACTCGAATTAGAAAATACCGACTTAAAAGCAAAATTAGCACAGGCAGAAAATCTAAATCAATTACTAGACGACGAAAATAAAGCATTAACTAAAGAAAGAAACGAACTCAGAAAAACCAATCATAAATTAAAAACAGAAAACGATCAATTAAAAGCAGCAGCAGGAAATAATCCGGCAAAAATGGCAGGATTACCAATAAAACTTAACGAGGAAAGAAACGAACAAAGACGAATCGATGAATTTAATAACTTTAAAGATCAGAATATAAGGATCTCAGATTTAAGAACATATGATGGAACAAGGAAAGAAACAGAATCATGGATTGATGACGTAGAACAATGGCTAATAGCAAATTCACTACCAAAAGGAAATGAACCAAATACCAACTGTGATGGAACACCAGCAGGAGGAAATGTACAAAACGAAGCAGAACCAGGAATAACATGGCAAGCTCTAAGATTGAGAAGAAGACCGAACGATGACACAAACGTAGGAAATATAAGAGTAAATGCAATGAGAGACGGATACGAATTAATCAATGCAACATTAAATGCTCAAGACTTACAAAGGATGGCAGGAAGAATTGGAAGACTAAATGGAACATTTGATGCAGCAGCAAATGACTGTAAAAGATCGTCAAGAATAATAGAACTTATAGCAACAAGATTTATAGGAGAAGCACAAATAGCATGGAAATCATTACAAGGAATCGATAGACCAAGAACATGGGAAGATCACCAATTTGAAGGAGCAGTAGCACCATTGGGATTAAAATCATGGATTAGAAGAAACTTTTTATCAAGAATAGATACCCAATTAAAATATGCGGAATTTACAAAGATAAAGATGACATATCACTACAAAAATATTCAAGAATACAACGTTAAATATAATAACCTAAAAAGACAAGCCAGACAAGAAAACATGGAAAGAAGGAATGCAATAGACCATTACTTAAATTCGTTACCACATTCAATAGAAATAAGAGTAAGAGAATGGATGGCAACGAAGGAAACAGAAGGAACCGAAGTACCATTGGAAGGGGATACAAATTCAGTACAAGCCAATGCAGTAGTAATATACTCACAATTAGAAAGAGTTAAAGGAGATCTAGAAACAAAAAATCCATATAAATCCACAAATTACAGAAAAAACTATAGAATTAATGAAATAAATGAATCAATAGAGGAATTAGTAGAAAAAATAAGCAATTTGGAAGTTGACGAAGAAAGGAAAGAAGAGTTAATTGAAAAAATAGAACGATTAGAATTAAGTGGAAGCACATTTCCAGGAAAAAATGGAAGAAATCATATAAAAATGGAAATCGTTGACCCAAATAAAGAAAAATTTTCATTCCAAGAAAAAGGAAAATATAAACCAAAATATAAACCAATGAACCAAGAAAATAAACAAGGATATAACTCAAGAGGAAGGTTCAATAGATCTAGAAGAGGCAGATCAGGAAGAGGAAGAAATAATAATTTAAAGTTTAGAAAATTATCTTTTAAAGAAATAAACGAAATAGAAGACGATGACGAAGAAGAAGAAGAAGAAATATATATGATAAGAGAAATTTTATCAGAAGAAATCTTATCAGAAGAAGAAGTAGAAATATCCAGAGGAGGAATTGTCTCAGCAAAGGAAAAAGGAAGAAAATACGAATGCAAAATTATTAAAAAACTGGAAGAATCAGGAATACAAGTAATTGCCACAAAAGAACAAATAGAAGGAACGAATATAGGAGATAAAGGAATAGATTTTATGATACAATCAACGAATGGAATGATATTAGGACAAATAAAGGATTGGAATAAAAAAGTAGGAGCAGAAAAAGTAAAAGAATTTATAACAACGGTATCGAAAGCACCCAACAACAAAGGAATAATCATATCAAGTTCAGGATTTACAAAATCCGCATACGAGGAAATAAAAGATATAGAAAATATCATATTGGCTGAAGAAGGAGAAATCATTGAAAAAATACAAGAAATATCAACCGTAAAAATAGTACAAAGAAAAAAGAGCAGAGAAATAAATATAGAAAAGGCAGATGAAATAATTATATCAGGAGAATTAAGAATAACAAAACCGGAAAACATAATGATAATCGAAGAAAACCAACTTCTTCAATTAGAAGAAAAGAAAATAGGAAGAAGAATTAAAAGAAAAAAGAAACGTGAAAACTTATTTGAACTATATAGCTCAGAAGAAGATAATGAAATACTAGAATTACCATTAAAAACCAATAATAGATACCATGTAAAAATAATTATTAAAGACAGAGAATTTATAGGACTAGTAGATTCAGGGGCAGCAAAAAATGCAATAAGATACCAATTAGCAAAAGAACTAGGATTGGAAATAAAACCAACAGAAAAAAGATTTGGAACAGCAGGAACCCCGGCTAAAGTAAAAGGAAAATCAGAAAATCGAATTAAAGTAGGAGAAGAGGAAAGAGAAAGTAAAGAAACGCTATATGTAATCGACAGTTCAGGAATGACAGAAATTATATTAGGAAGAACATGGTTAAAAGATCTAGGAGATCATATAATAGTAGATACATACGGAACAATAAATAGAAGAAATGGAAACAAAATAGGAAAAACAATTATCACATTATATAACTCATCAATGAAAACAAAAGCGGAAAATATAAACGAAATACAGGAAATATGTACAGAAGAAAAACAAAACATATACGAAATTACTGAAGAGGAATGCATAGAGGCACTGACAGATTATTTTACACCACAGGGTTTAATGAAAATAGCAGGAAAAGAAATTATAGGATTTATGTTAAGAACTATAGATCAAAAATTCGATATATCGAGAGGAATAACTGAAAAAACAGCACGATATATTAGAAAATACTTAGTAGGAACAGTGAAACAATTTATTTCAACTCAATTAAAAGAATATATGGTAGATTATATGCTAAATATAATAGAGAAAGTAGTAGTACCGGATTCATTAATAGAAAAACAAGTCGATAAATTACTGACATATGTACTAAAAAAGACAAATCTAATAACAAGAAATATATTTTACTTTGCTGAAATGGAAAAAGAAGAAGAAGTTTACGAAAAAATTGAAGAAATATTCGAAGAAGAAGAAAATGAATCAGAACCAGAATACGAATATGATATAGATATATACGAATGGATGGACCCAGAAAAAGAAGAATTTGACAAAGAAAATACAGAAGTATACGCAGAAATGCTTGAGGAAAATTTAGAAAAACTAGAAGAATTAAAGATATTCGAATGCGAAGATAGTATAGAAATATTTAATTGGGCAAACCCATGGAGAAACAAGAATGAAGTAGCACCAGGGGTAAATACAAAGAATTTGACGTTTAAGAAAAGAAGTGAAATAGAAACACAGAAAACTTGGAATAGGAATAACGAAATAAAATTCGGAAATAATCAGAGTAATTACAGAAGACCAGAATTTATAAGAGGAACTATAGTATCTCGACCAGGAAAACCACCAATAATGACAAGAGAAGTAATTGGAGAAAGAGAACAAAATGCACCAACATATACACCAGAACCCAAAGAAGGAGAAAGGAGAGAAGAGTACACACCAGTAGATACACCAACGGAAACTCCAAACACAACGGATAACGAAGGAAGAGAAACAAAAAGAATATACAACAAGAATGCCAATAGAAACAAATTTTCGAAAAGAAAATTTTCTAGAAAAGGCAAAAAAGATAGGATCAAAGAAAAAGGCATAAATTATACAAATAAGAAAGATTCAGGATACGATACTCTATCAGGATACAAAGAAACAGCTAGAATAAATCCATTTAGAAGTAGACAACAAGGATCAGGAAGAGCCATATCAGCGGCTAGACCAACGACAGCTACAGTTACAACAGCAGGAAGAAATAATACAGGAGGAAGAATTACGCTCATATCGAGATTGTATCAATCTGGAGAAAGAGGAAATTCATTTACAGCAATAGGAAAAGTCGGTAACACTGAGATAAAAATAATATTTAATATGGAAAGAGAATACGATGTAATATCAAACGCTACATTAGCACAAAGAATAGGTGGAGGAAACCACAATCTAAGAACGGAAGACCAAGCATTAGTAACATCAGGATTACCAGAAGAATTATCAAGTAATAGAAGAATTACACAGAAAAAGTCAGATGATTCAGTGTGCATAGAATTCGAATATTTTATAATATTATGTAAGAAAATATTCATAAATAATAGTACAACAAATAGCAACTATATAAGTATAGGACTAAAAACTATCAAACAGAATGGAATAGAATTTAACTTTAATAAAAATCAGTTTAGTATACCAAACCCAGAATATGAGCCAAACCAACAAAAACCAAGATTATATGCTAGCAACATATACGAAAGATCAGATTATGGAAGAAGACCACTGCAACTATCAGAATTACAAGATTCGGATGATGACTCGGATTATTCTGAGGAAATAGAAATGTTAAATGAAGAGTCAGATAATGAAATTATAATGGAAAATGTTGAAGAACGAGAAAAAAGAGAAATAGAAAAAGAAATTGAAGAGGGAAGAATGATGCTTGATTTAATGGATTCATTATACAAATCTGAACTAGAAGAATGGGAAAAGGAACAAGAACAAGAAAAGACTGAGAAAAAGACACCCTACTTCATGAAAGAAATGGTGAAAGGAAAGATGATTAAAGAAGAATTTAACTCAACATGGTTAATGGAAGAATATAACTATCAAGTTAGAAAAGTAAACTTCAATAGTAAGGAGAAGCTAAATATACCTTATTATGGGATAATAGAAGGAGAATTATCAAACGAAAGAATAAGAAAAGCTCGATCAAAAGAATTACTAAAAACCCATTACTGGAAGGAAGAAGAACATCCTAAAAAAACAATAGAAAGAATTACCAAATATTACAAAATAGGAAATAAAGAGGAAGAAGAAATATGTGAAAAATACAACACGAATAACAACGGAAAGTTTAACACAAAAATATATCCATTTACAAAAGAAGACTTAAAATTACAAGAAGAATTTGAAGAAGGAATAGAAAGACAATTATTCAAAGAAATATATTTTATGAAAGGAAAAACGAGAGAAGAAAAGAAATACGAAAAATATATAGGAACATTTAAAGAAAACGGAATAAGAATAGTACTTTATGAAATAGAGGACGAAAAATATACGGAAAAATATATTAAAAGAAAAGAAAAACGGAACGATAATTGGATAAACTGGCACGATAAAAAGCAAATAATGGAGAAAGAAGACAAAAGTCGATTAGGAATTTGTTATAAAAGGAAATACCCTCACCAAAGAAATGATAATCCAGAAAACAGAATACAAATTTTAGAATATTGGAAAGAATATTATCACCCAGAACAAGAAGAAACAAATCAAGAAAAAATAAGGACTAAAGAAAAATTATTTGAAGAAATATATAGGAAAGGATACAAACCAAAATGGTACAAGGAAGAGAAGGAACAACACGAAGAACAATCTATATGGAAAAATACCATTAAAAATGTAGACAATGAAATAATTGAAATAATAAACCAAGAGGAAGAAATGAATGAAAAAATTGCAGATTATGACTATAATGAAACGGATGAGGAAATGCTCATGCTAGAAGAAATTTCACAGACAGACGAAAAGTTAGAAAGAATGGAGAATGAGGAAAAACACAAAGGGAAAAGCTTTGTAATAATCATCTTATGGGATGACGAAGGGACATGGATTTCAAGAAGAGAAAATATGAATAAAGTGTATTACGGATTATACCAATACCCTGGAGGAGGAAAAGAAGACAACGAATCATTTAAAGAGGCAGCAATAAGAGAATTAGAAGAAGAAACGGGAATAGAAAGAAATATTGAAGATCTAGAATATGTAACAACGCATAAATGGAAAAATAACGGACAAGAATGTAAAACCAAAGTATATTTAGTAAGATTATTCAGAATAATAGGAGAAAGACCAGAAGTAAGAGAACCAAACAATATAAAAGAATGGATAAAAATAGATTATAAGAATCTAAGACACTACAAAATGACACCTACTATAGAATATGATAAAGAAAAAATCATAAAAAGTCTTGAAAAAGAGATCTAAGTCTTTGTTGGAAGGACCAACAGACGTTAAAGAATATAAAAACAAAAGAAAAATAGAAAAAATGGAAGAAATAGAAACGGAAGAAACAAATAAGAAATTAAAAACGGAAGATTATAGAATAAAAGAAAGCTTCAAACAGAAATATGATGACATGGAAAGAATGAGAGATAAAAAACCAATAAAGGAAATGACCAATGAAGAATTTCTGAGACAATTCAAAAATTTACCAGAAATAAAAGAATTGAAGGAACTACTTTTAAAATATAAGGGGATATTTGCAGTATCAGAAGAAGATATGGAACAAATACCACGAGAAATAGCAGAATTTTCAATACCATTAAAAGAAGGAATGCAGCCCAAAGACATGGATATAAACCCAGAAGAAAAGAAAGATATAAAAATACAAGAATCACTTAAAAAATGGCTAACGAATCAGATGAAAGCAGGATATATACAAAAGGTAGAAAAAGGAGGAATTGTAGAACGCGTAGAATTCGCATGTAATCTCATAACTGTAGAAAAGAAAGGAAAAGACGAACTAAGACATTGTCAAAACATGACTAGGCTCAATGAATGCACAATAGATAGATCACAAAGGATAGGATTTCTAGAAATGCAATTAAAAAATGCGGTAGGATACAAATACTATTCGACAATGGATATAAGAATGGGATTCAATAACATAGGAATAAAGCCGGAAGACATATATAAAACAGCATTCAAATGTATATATGGAATATATGTACAATTGGTCATGGGATTCGGATATAAGGACGCACCAACAGAATTCCAAGAAACTATGGAAAGAATATTCAGAGAAATAATATTTGAAGATTGGATATCGATCTACATGGACGATATACTAATAAAAACAAATTCAACCAGAGAAATGTTACAAAATTTAGAAAAAGTATTTAGACTAATGGTAAAAGGAAAAATTAAAGCAGATCCATCAAAATGCGAATTTATGAAAAGAGAGGTAAAAATTTTAGGAAAATTAGTATCAGAAAAAGGAATGAGAATACCAGATGCTTATTTAAAAGCCTTAGAAGACTGGAAATGGCCAGAAGGATTAGAAAGTTATAACGGAAGAATAACATGGATGATGGATTTTGTCCAAGATGCACAGGAAGATATGTCAATAATACGAAGAGTCATAAATGAGGAAAAAACAGGACCTGTAGATTACAAGGAACCAAAAAAGGCATTTGAACGACTTAAAGAAAAGATAAGAAAAAGAGTCATATTAGGAAAAGCAGACTATACAAAGATAATGAAGTTATCTTGCGATGCAAGCGATAATGCACTAGGAGCAGTCTTATATCAAGATAAGGAGGAAAATGATGAAAAAGAAAAAAAAATAACGAGAAAGGAAATATTGGGATTCTATTCAAGATCATTTAATAACTTACAAAAAGGATATTCAATTCCAAGAAAAGAATTAATGGCTATAAATGAAGGAATAGAACACTTTTATGCAGATCTTAGAATATCTAAAGAAGTGCAAATTCTAACAGATAGCGCAATTGCATATAAACTACATAAAAATATAACAAAAGGAAAAATAACGAAATCGCCAAAGTTTTTGCCATTATTAATAGAACACATAGAATTATCTAAGCAGATAATCTGGATCAGTAGAGATAAAAATAAATGGTCAGATCTCATGACACGAATAGGACAAGAAGATAAGAAGAAATTTGAAAATGAACAAATTGATAAGATAATAAACAAGGAAAAACTAGAAATAGATCAAGTACAAGATACGGAATTATACCCAGGAGGAAAAAAGATTGAAAATCCAGGACAGGAAGAAAAGAAAAGAAAGATGATGAGTAATCAAAGTCACGAAAAAATTGTTAAGAAAAGAAAAAAGATTATTAAGAAAATTACTAATCAAAAGAAGGAAAAGATCTATAAAAAGAAAAGGAAGAAGATATAGCCAAAAGCAATATGAATAATTTCATAAAAGAAAAAGAAAAGGAAATAAACAATAATAATAAAATTCGAGAAGAATATAATAAACTCCGGAAGGAAATAATTGAACAAAATACTGAGGAAATAAAAGAAGAATTCGAAAAACTAATTAGACTTAATCGAGAAATCAGAGAAGTAAACGAGGAAGAATCAAATTACGAAAAGAAAATCGAAAAAATAGGAAATCTGAGGAAACAGAAGAATCTAATCAAAAAAGAAATTGTGAGAATATCTGAATCAAGAAAATTAAATAGAGAAATAATATATAAAGAATTAGAAAATGGAACAAACCAATCAAAACCAAGAATTCAATCAAAATGTTCAGGAAAATCAACAAATCACGTTTCAACCCGAAGAATACGAAGAAATGAAGAAAAACCTCGAAAAGTACAAACTAATGATGAAACAAATAGAAAGGGAAGAAAAAGAAAAAGAAATAGAACAAAAGAAGAAAATCCATCAAGAAAAGAAAAAAGAATTGAAGGAAGTAAATCAACAAATCATGGAACTAATGAACCAACAGGATCGATTGATTTATGAATTAAGAGAATTAGAAAACGAGATTACTGGAAAAGAGCTTCAAAAAGGAAAAGAAAAAAGACGAGAAGAAGTTCGGGCAGAAACCTCTAAAAGAGAACCATCACCGGGAGAAATATGGACTAAAAGATATGAAGAAAGGAATCAAATCGCAACAAATAATACATACAGAGAAAGTAGAAGACCGATCCAATACGAAAATAATTGGGAAAGAAGAGGAACTTTCGGATGTAGTAACTGTGGAGAAACCACACATGCATATGCTAATTGTCCAAAAGTAAGATGCGGAGAATGCGGAGATCTTGGACATATTAAAAAATTCTGTAGGAATAAAAAATGTGATAAGTGTGGAGAAACAGGGCATATCAGAAAAGATTGTTACAACTATACAACAAAAGAAATAATGGTTGCAAGGAAGGTATCGGAAGAAGTCCATGAAACAAAATTCACAGCTACTGAAAATTGACTAGAAGACTGGAAAGATGACGGATGGCATCGGCCAGGAGATTATGACAAAATAATAGTAAGAAGATCGGAAGGAAAATTACCAACATTACCAAATGAAATTATTGAAGAAATATTATTATATAACGAAAACCAATATGATAAGGAAGGAAGGAAAGAAATACTAAAATATAGAAGATTATCAAAAGGATGGAATGAATACCTTAAGAAATTCAATGACTTCTCATTAGTAGAAAGAGAATATTGCATATTGAAAGAAAAATTCAAAAAGAAACAATCATGTTTATGTAATATAGATCAAAACGGACACTTAGGAGAAAAATGTGACCACTGCATGAAATATCTCAAATTCCTAAATTTTGAAGAAAAATTGGTAAATAAGTTCGGAAGAAAAAGATTCGAAGATTGTACTTGTGAATATTGCGAAAAAGTAAGAAAATACAAAGAAAGAAGAAAAGAAAATAAAAAATCGGAAGAATATGGGACAATTGTTAATCAGATAATGAATAAACAACCAGGATACGGATCATGGACCATAAGAGAAATAATAGAAAACATCAGATATCATAAAACTACCAATAGTCACGCAAGAAATTGTAGAACATGTAATATATTAAAAGAAAGATTAGACGAGATAAGAGAAAAAGATAATAAATATTATTAATCATAAGAGAAAGCTGAATAATCAAGAATTTTTATTAACTAACAGAAACTTATATAAGAAAGGTATGATCGGAGAAAATAAAATACTATAAATACCCATCAAAAATGACTGGAGTAAAAAGAAGCCACAAAGAAACCGAAGAAAAATCAGATTTTGAACAGATCAACGGAGAAATCACTCAGGAGAACGAAAATAAAAGAAGAAGAAAAGAACAAAATAGAAATTCACAAAAAAGTTATAAAGAACGACGGAATAAATACATCGAAAAAATGGAAAAAATAATTGAAAAGTACGAAGAAAGATTCAAGGAAATTGAAGAAAAAGTCGAAAACTTAATAAAAGGAAAACCAGTAGAAACAGGAAGCACCCGAGAAAAAGAAACTCAAACGGAAGAAAAACTATATACTCAAAAGGAAGTAGATACAATAATTTGGAGGATGAAACAATTTGATGAAATATATAGAAAAGAAAAGCAAAAACAGGAAATACAAAAAGAGCAAGAGGAAAAGGATGAAAAAGAACTTGCGATAATTTTAGAAATTTTGGATCAAAATAATCAATCAGGGATCTATACAATTACTAATCAATATCTAGGAGAATGAAATGATTAACAATCAGAAGAATAATTAATGATCAAAAGTATCATCGGTTAAAGAAAATTTTATTAAATATTTTAGAAATCTTAGTAATTGATGAGTAATCAGGATGATCTTCAGTAGTTTTATTTTTATTATAAATAGGGAGTTTATTTCCCAACTTTCAACCTCATGTTGAATTTTATAAATTTTTCATCTATCTTATTATTACATGTATTTTATAACCAAATCATTAAATAAAATATCAATTTATTATATTATAAACTTGACTTTCTTTTATTATGAAATTCGTTTTAACTATGAAATTAGTGAAATCGAGAATTTACATTGATAATGAGCGCTGGTGTCAGCAAATTTTTATAAAATTCAACATGTAAACTTAATAAACTTGAGGAAGCATACTCCAAAGAGTCAATATTAAGTAGCAAAAAGTTATCAATAAGAAAATCCATTGAAAAGCTATTGCATCCAGAATAATACATTCTGATGAGAAATTCACTATCAATAAAATGAGCAATTCGAAGAATTGTTTTGAAAATTGATATAAAGAATATTCGAAATAAATCTTCTAATTTATTTAAAAATAGACAAGACTATCCATTTTAGGATTAGTAGTTCTAAAATAAATAAAGGAGTTATAATGGAAAGCGAGATTGTAGAACGAAAGGAGTTAATGTATACAACGCCCTTTAACGCCACAATCTTTGCAATCTATATTATACCTCGTACATTCTAACGTTATTAGATCGAGAATCACGTTAATGCTTGCAACCTCTGATTAGTACGATAACCTATTAGATGTCGGGATGAGATAATAGTAATGAGTGGGCCAACTTCATTCAATTTATCGAAAAAGTCTTATGAAATCAGAAATTGTTTAGACCGGTTCTAACAGTAAAAGAAAGTAGTAAGCTCCCTAATCTTACTAGTGATTGTCATAGCAAAAGGCGAAATGACATGAACGACGGTAACATTACTCTTCGAGGGATAACATCGAACTCAGGTGACTTCACATCTGAAAAAGAATATATCGAAGTAAAATAAGAGCAAAATCTGAAACGATTTGCACGTCACGACGTTGTACAAAATAGTTTAATTTAACGTTAACACTAATATATACTAATACTATATCAATATAGTAAATGATCACGGTGATACATACAACAATGGTGCACAACGAAAAAAAAATATTCACAACAAAAAAAAAATCAAAAATTCAAAATCAATAATTTTATTCACAACAAAAAAATAAAAATTTAATTCAACGTCGACCCATCTCAATCAGACCCCTTTCGTTTAACAACTTTAATCTCTTGTATTCATCTACCACATCCCTATCTACTTTCAGGCAATCAAAATCGAAATCAAAGATATCTAACGAATCCCAGGAAGGAGCTCGACTCATCGCCACATAGATCTGACCCGGCGCAAACATGTTTTGATCTATGGTCAAAGTGACGTGCGGTAACGTTAGGCCTTGGGTCTTGTGGACGGTCAACGCGAAAGCGTTCTGCAAAGGGAATTGGTGTCTTGAGGCATGTATTCCATTAATTTCAAAGTTCGCGGTGATTTTTTGAACATTGATCTTAACAATGTTTTCATTCGTTGGAAAGGTGACCTCGACATTGTCGTGGTCTATACTCTTGGTAACGACTCCTATCGTCCCATTGCAAATGTTGTGCTCGAACAACTTGTTGTTCAAGAACATGACCCTTGCCCCTTCTTGGATCGTGACCGATTGTGGTAGGTTTGTATGATTTTTGAAAGGCAAATTGTCGGAGCCGCTGTTGACTACTTCAAAATTCAACGCGTCAAGCGCCATCGAAACAATAGGGTCGGAGCATTGATCACTGAACGGCAGATTCTCGCAAATGAATGTGTTGATTTCTTGCGAGATCGCACGAAGACCAACAACATGCGTGGTATTTATCATCGCTCTGGAATTTTGGGAATCCTTGATCTTTTCATTGATCATCAATTTCGATTTTTCAGAAAGACGCCCAAGCCTCAACTCCTCAAGCATACGGTAAAACTCCAAATCACCTCTCTGTCGTTGCGGTTTGGACAGGAACAGGGGAAAGAAGGATCTCCAGGCCGGTGAAAAGAAGACATGCTCCCCATTCACAGGGGACAATTGCAAAAGGTCACCGACCACGAGGACAGGAATTCCGCCAAAAACCTTGTTGTTCTTGTGCAGTGAGCCAAAAAGGTTACTTAGGAACGAAAACAACTCGCTGGAAACCATAGAGATTTCGTCGATTATGATGACCATTATTTGCAATAAAGCTTGAATCGACGGTTCTGACTCCGCGAACAGGGTTTGATAGTGGTGGCTGTTCGTTTGCCTTATCCTCAACGCCGAGTGGATGGTTTTCCCACCAACATTCTGGGCTGCAACGCCTGTAGGAGCGAGCAGCAGGTAATCGAGTTTCTTGCTTTTCAGCATATCCACTATTTTTAGGGTCATGAATGTCTTCCCCGTCCCTGCTGACCCACTCATGAAGAAGTACGGATGTCTACCTTCGCTTTCAAGACCCCACGAATTACACAACGTGTCGTACACTTTGTATTGCTCATCGTCAAGCGCTAGTGCAGAGACCGTCTCAAGGGAAGGCTTTTCCAATGAGATAAGTTGATTGTATATAATGTCCCAAAGTTCGTTTTTTTCCAGATTTGATAAAACTGACTCGACCACCCTTTTAAATGCTTCAGAAAGTTGGAGCCTATCAGTAATGGAGCTTCTTGTTAACCTTGAGACAGCTTGCTCGTATCTCACTGGGTAGAGGTTCCTAAAACTTTCTCTAAAAGTTGAATGTCCTCTAAGCAGATCTCCCTCAGAACATGCAGGATGTTTCATAATCAGATGCTGGTAAAAGAAAGGCTCCCCATCATCCACCTTATAATTTGTGAATCTCAGAAGCAAGGGTTTGGTTCTCTTGATGACGCACCTGTTCCTCAAATCCCTTGTCCAGTAAAGTTTACTGTTTGGTCCAGGCGGATTGCTCCTGACATTGTAATTTCGAAAATAATCAGGGTATGTGATTCCTTGAAAATGCTCATCTCTTGGTCTCTCAAAATATTTATCTATGGCGTCATCAAAATAGGGCCTCTCACCATCCTCGCCATCCTCGCCAACTTCTTGTTCTTCAATTTGCATATACATGGGCTTCACCGAACGTATCCGCAATTCGGAAGGGGCTGATGGAAGATACTGAACAGCGGCAGAGGATCTCATTACGTGGTGCTGTAAAAGCAAGATCATAAGCTCTATCGAGCCCAACCTTCTGGCCTGCACATGCTCCCTGTAGGAACCTTGCTCATTGATGTTAAAGATCTCGGTAGGCTCAGGTTTGGTTGCGTACTTTGTCACATATTTTCCAAAGCCAAGGGTTGTTATGTATTGAAAATTGATGTGCCCCTGCCACATAAAAAGCGTTTCAGGATGGTACGGGACAACCCAACGGTCTTCTTCCTTGGTCCTCCGGTAGGTGTACCTCTTAGAGTTTGGGCTACAATATGTGAAATCTGAGAGGGGTTGGGGGAACCCTTTCCTACACGGCTGTAGACTTGTACCTGGGCCTCTGCATTTTTCTGGGACACACCTGTGAATCTGAAACGTTGTGACAAGCTGGTGAAGCTCGGGCTTGAGCTCTGGGTGAGGCAAGTCTGCACGGATTGTATTGTTTGAGATCAAATCTCGTACGCTTAATTCGGTGTAAGCGAATCCGTGCGTGTGGATACTTCCTCTACCCTGAAACTCATCCCTCTCAAAATAGTGCAACCATTCACCCCACTTTACGAGTGCTGGATCCTTCCAGAGCCTGTTTCGTATGTTTGTCAACCTATTGTGGTAGTGCAAATATACGTGCAATGGCCTGTTTGTTGGAAGTGGATCCCTGTTATCGGTATTTTCCAAGATTTCTTTCAGGTGCTTCCACTTGTCTTCAGCAGCTGTCATTGTATAGAAAATTTGGGGTAGGCCGTAAGACTGAATCATTATGTTGACCTGGTACTGTTTTTTCCTGAAGAATGGTGCAGATGTTCTGACAAATGAAGGTAGCGTGGTGGTTAAAGATTCATCTATTACGGGACGATCGGTGTAAACACTTGATGATATTAAGTCTGATCTTGTGGGGTGTAGGTCACGAGTGACATTCCTTTGGTTCAAGATCCTGTTCTGGTTTTGGTAGTTGCGCTTTTTTTCCAGATTCAGGTACGAGTAATGTGGCCAGTACCAATGGAGCCTGAACCTTGGGTCTGGACACAACATCCTTAATTTAACATATTTTCCATAGCTATCTGTACGGTGTTTGAACCCTAACAATTTTTTCACATCTTCATAGTGCCCATGGCCGGTAGGGAAAAGGTCAGGAAAGAGCAAAGCCTCGACGTCTGGATTATTACATTGGATTGGAAGTGCAACATCTTCATTTGAGACAACAAACCCTGCCATCAGTCGTTCGTATCGGTAGTCTTCGTCATGAATTTGTGTCGGAAATTCATCATTGGGGACAATTAAGGATGGTTGTTGTTGTTGTGAAGCAGCTGAGCTCGACAAGAAACATTGGTCAGCCGACGATGGCCTGGCCATTGGCAAGGGTTGTGGGAATGGACTGGACGCTGGGGGGTGTGTCATGGTGCGATGCTCGTTGTACTGCTTAAACATTGGGTTGTTTTGCTTTAGCCATCGGCTTGCGCTAACTAACGATTCATGAAACCAATGTGGTGGTTCATTTTGATTTAGGAAAGCCCCTATTAAACCCGAGTGGAGATTCAAAGCATGCTTATTTTTTGACAGCCCGATGAAACCTTGCAAGTGGCGGTAGTTTGTGTATGGATTGGACCCGGATGCTCGTCCCAACGAACAGCTCATGTGAATTGGAGATAGATGTTTGCGATGCACCATTGGAACTGCACTGATTTCCTCAGGTATCATTGCTAGAACAGGTGGAAAACGACGATTTTTTGTAGATTTGCACGATGAGCATACAGCGATCTTGGTTCGG